ACAACTACGTCATTTCTCAAGGCATTAAGTTCGCCCTTCTTATTTTTTACAATAAAAAATAAATACATTTGTTACTTTTTGGCCGCAAGTTTTTAACGGTTTATGCCTATTTGTTTGATGACGCGATTCAGCCTATTTAATTTGTGTAATTACAACAAATTGAATGTGAGAATTTATGAATTACGGTCATATATTTACGTGGTTGAGCCACGCTGCAGCTATATTATGGTTGTAGCCCAAATGGGTCGACTCGACCGGGGAAGGACCACGCTCTCACAGAATACCAGCGTAAAATAGTAGCTTAATGTTGCTGTTTCGTATGGCGAGTGTAGCGAACCGGAGACCCTTTTTACTGGAAACGAGGCATTCCATCTTACTCCCTAGGGGTGCCAACGCATCTGCATTTTGATTCTTAATCGAGGATAGATGTTTTTGGGCCACATGATCTACTTACCATCAGGTGGACTGTGTGGTCGTTTGTCACCTTTATTCTATAAAAAAAGTGACATACCAGCCAAAAATATCGATTGGTGATTATCCCTTTTTGGGTTACAAGGCTGTCGTCGGATAAAAATTGACTTTAGAGAACTCTATCGGCACGCACTGGAGCGGCGCGGCCTCACCTCTTCAGCCTCTTATAAAGGCTATTGAGCAGCAGTGAAACGCTTATTATACAGGCTTCTTTACCGATATTGATTTTGATGTATTTTAAACAATGATCAGCTCTAGCGATAACCAAAAGGACCTACGGCTGGCTTCACCCACTAAGTGTGAGCAGGTAGGTGGGTGCAGGAGGAGTTCCAGTTTACCCAACGCACCCACTGTATTACACTAACTTGCATATATAGAGGTCAGTAACACTTGACTTGATGCAATTAAACAATTAGTGACATTTTCTTATTACTATCCGTCTTACCAGTTACTCGACTCCACCGAGTCAGTAATTCATTCTTGGGGCGATGTATACGCTTTTACAACAAAATCCCAGAAAATATACAAAATTTGTCATATATAAAGTTCAAAAATGTTATTAAACTAAGTTTGTATAAAAAGGGTTATTATAATATTAAGGAATTTATGGATGGTAACCCCTGGGAAGGGTGATCGCTACCAAGCTATTTCTAATTTGTCTTGTGTTGCTAATTGTAAACATGATTGTAAGCTATTATTGGAAAAAAAATAGTCCCGCTGGGTTTCTTGCTGGTTCTTCCCAGGTTTTTTTTTTTTGCGAACCAGTGGTAAATGAAAAAAGTAACTTTCAATAAGTATTGTTATAATCTACATTGAATAAAAAAGTTTGTTTCTGTCAACTTTGGGTCATATGAAAAAAGTGACGAGTGCTAAGTATAACATTTTAATGAGGGAAAATTCTCTGTAAACTCAGACATAATACACGCTGATTTTACTTATTATATCGGTTATTATCTTTATGTGACATGATTTGTTGATGCAACAGTTTAGGGACTTCATTTTGAAAAAAAACTAGTTAACTATCATGGAGATAATAATAAAAATTGTTTATTGTCAATTTAGTTTAACCGAAACTCAACAGAAATGTACATTAAAATAAAAAAAGAAACAATAGATGGCAGTCTCGGCGTTTAGTGAGCGAGTAAAAACTACACTATTTTTCAACATATAAAGACAGTCGATTGCCACACTAAAAAGATTTAATCATGAAAAAAAGCATTATTGAACAAATAAAAAACACATAAACTAAAAACAGATTGACATTCCTACTTTTAGTACTTTTCGTTCAAATATGAATAAATGTATGTCATTTCTTATAATAATAATAATAATTTATTTTATTTTGAAAAACTGTACAAATTATTCCAATAAGTCTTCAAAAAACAGGCACCGAATTAAAAACCTACAAACAAAAAAGATATTAATGAACTTAAAACAATCAGCAACTTCTCCGATCATCGTATGACAAATTTTGTAACCATGTTCGAATTACCTTTTTACAGTCTGTCATTTTTAATGGATATATGTACAAAATTGCATTTACTTGATTACACAAAAAAGGGCCGAGGAATGTAAAAAATCTATGCATGAAATAATGCCTTATTCTAATGTTAGTTTTAATTACTATATCTTTGCGTCTTTTATCAGTGACCTCTCTTCTGTAGGGCAATTTTAAGTGCTGTTTTAGTAACGTACTCATAACGAATAACTGGCGCACTGAGAGGACATTATAGGATTTGTATAAGTGATGGGATAGGGAAATAGAATAGGGCGGAATGTTGCAATTTTTAATACAGCTCTTTGAGCGCGTTCCAGTGGTAGCAGTGTAGTTTTAGCTGCTCCACCCCAAGAGGTTATACAATAGGTAAGTTGATTGACATAATGCGTAATATACTTGTTTTATTACCTTAATATCAGCAAAAGAACGAATTTTTTTAAAAACAAACATTAGTTTACGAACTCTATTGCATAGCTGGTTTATGTGGTTTTTAAATGTAAAAAACGTAGAATCTATAATTATTCCAAGGTACTTAATAGTTTTTGTATTAGAAATGACTGGGCAGTAACATTTAGACTCTGTGACTGAGTAACATTGATGTGCATAAATTTCTGGAACAATTGTATGCTGGGTTGAGCTGCGCATAGAAAAATGAATATATTTGGTTTTGTCCGTATTCAGTGTTAATATGTTTTGTTGGAGCCATTTATTAACTCTATCAAAACCTTGCTGAGCATATAAATAAACCTTGTCCACTGTATTTGCGGAAAAAAGTAGCACGGTATCATCTGCGTAAGATATTATTTTACCTGAGTTAAGTTCAAGATTGCGTAGGTCATTCATATAAATCAAAAATAGGGTTGGCCCTAATACACTTCCTTGAGGCACGCCAAAATGAGTATTTTTTTGTTCAGAGCTAACAACCTTATCGATTTTTATGCATTGGTATCGATTTTCTAAATAATTCTCAAAAAGTTGAAGCTGCTTACCTCGAATACCTATGTTCTCTAACTTATTTAATAGGATAGGAATAGAAACCGTATCAAATGCTTTTGCAAGGTCAAGGTAAATGCCAATTGATTGGTTGCCTTTATCTAATTCTTGAGAGACGTAATCGGTCATTTTCTGCACAGCATCAGCAGTGGACAGTTTAGGCCTGAAACCATATTGCATATTCGATAATATGGATTTGCTTTGTAAATAATTCATTAATCTGTTGTTAATTAATTTTTCTAATATTTTAGACGTGGATGAGAGTATCGAGATAGGCCGATAATTGGAAACGTTTTTTTTGTTCCCCGATTTGAATACTGGAACTACAATTGCTTTTTTTAAACAATCTGGGAAAATTCCTTGAGAGACAAATTCTGAAAATATGGGTTAATGGTGGTACTAGAATTTGTCTATATTTTTTTAATATACTAATGGGGTATGCCATCCCATCCAACCGCGCTTGTTTCTTTCAGTCAGTCCGTATCTAATAATGTGAACGAGCTTAATTGGCAGTTTTTTTGAGTTAAGAAAGTGGTCCCGTATTCACGATTATTGTAGGAATTTTTTGTATCTGCTCACCCAGATTTTTACCAACATTCACAAAGTAATTATTTACTGTATTTGCTGATATAAGCGGCGAGGCATTATTTTGTAATAATTCTGATGAAGATTCATGCTGTTTGGAAATAAATGCAATAAATGAAATAAATACATGCCGCCAAATCTTTTTATTATCTCTACCAGACTCTTCTAGTAAGTTTGTAAGATAATTATACTTCAACTTTTTTAATAAATTGTTACAAAAATTCCTGTATCTTTTATATGAAATCTGTAAAATGGAATTATCTGAAGAGGACTTTGCCATCAGGTGTAGTTTGTCCCTGTGTTTCATGCTAATAAGGCCGGGTGTAATCTAAGACTTTAAGTTATTATTTTTTTTAGCTACTGTTCTATACGAAGTATTGCTAGCAATGGCATTTCGTACGTTATTTATTAAGTAAGGCAAAGAAATGTTTACGTCATCGATTTTATAAACTGGGCTAGTCAATGTTTTGAATTGCTTGTGGTTTTTGAATTTTATGCATTTAGTATTCCCACATTTATTATCGATACTCTTTTTAGGCATTTATAACACGAACATTGTTTGAGGTAAGGTAGATTGTAAATAAAACACTGATACTTATTGACCTAAAAATGAAGAAACATTTATTTTCAGTATGTCTTTTTGTAAAATTTAATAACAGAATGAATCAAATGTCGTAGTAATAGATATATAACAGAGCGGAGACTTCCATTTGATAGAATTAGTTACACCAACAATAGAAATATAATATTTATCATTTACAGATACAATTCAATGCAGTACCAATAAATCTAATTTATTCGTTTACTGAGTTAGTTAAATTTAAACATCCATATGATCATCAATGTACAGGGAGCGACGCGCGACGCGCGCTAGCTACGGACAAACTTAGATATTTAAGATTTTTTTTGGGATTTTTCGATTTTAACCATCACGTACTTTATAAATATCTCATACTTGAAAAAAATTTACATTAAAATGTTTCGGAAAGTGCGGGCGATAGCACCGCAAAGAGCAGGGCGACGCAGACACGCACGCACGCACACATACATAATTATACACGCCGACTAGCGACGGAAATATACACAAATATAAATTATGAGCCGACACGAACCCGAGATATACCATCACTCGCGACGCACTCGTTCGCTTCGCTGTACGCCACACGTCCACTTGCTTACAGTTACATTAACGGAATACTTTAAGTCTAAATAAGGGATGCGCGGGGGCGGTCGAGATCGGCGCCCGAGACAGGAGACCGGAGACCGACCGAGACCGCCCACGCGCCCGTGCGCGATACACGATACAATTATACCATTAAACTGAACGATGACAATATTTAATTTATCGCAAACACTAGAGAAATGCAGGTCCAATACGATGGTAATATTGTGTGTCATGAAACAAAATGTATATTTAAATTCTCTGCTTTTTACACACACACTAGCCGACGGCTCACTTCGACGTCATCATGGTGACGAATTCTGGAAACAAACAGAAGGCAATGATTAGTATGTGTTGTTAAAAGTGATTCTCCCTCGCAAACATATCTAAATGAAACGTAAGAGCGGTAACGTTGACATAGAACAGTAGTAACCGACAGAGATAGAGATGCACTATTGAACAGAGACCTGTTAGACAATAAACCACTAGATTATGGTATAAATGAACTTAGAATCGAACACCAAACAAATGCCTTCGCGATAATCTCGCAAGGCATGTACTTGATGGTATACGTACAAACAGAGACCATAGGAAACCGTCGTCATGCCACTACAAAGGGTTTATGCGAAATACCACCCTCCGGTTATCGACGGACGCGGAGCCCCGGTGCGAAGATGTTTGCTGCTCGTTAGTGGAAACACAAAGCTATATACAGTGTAGTAAAGGCGGTGAGAGCAAGCGGGAGAATCGCCAGGTGGTATTTCTATTAAAAACTTCTAAACAGATATTAGAAACATGCACCAATCTACAGGAAGGGCATTGCAAGGTAGAATAAAGGTGATAAACGAGCACACAGTCCACCTGATGGTAAGTTGATGCTGTGGCCCATAGACATCTACATCTATTCTCGATTAAGAAGCAAAATGCAGATGTATTGCCACCCCTGAGGGCGAAAATGGAATGCCTCAGTACCAGTAAAAAGGGTCTCTGGTTCACTACACTAATCATATGAAACAGCATCATTGAGCTGCTATTTTGCACTGGTAATCTGTGAGAGCAATTCGTGCTACAACCATAATATAGCTGCAGCATAGCTCTATCACGTAAAAAATTTGCAGGCAGTTGAGTAGTTAGAGGCACAAAAGCCGAGCGGTGACCAAACAGGTGGTGAGAAGAGGTGTGTGAAGGGCGTAGGGTGACGGAGGGGGGGCTAACATGTCCAGAAACAGTTAATAACGAGCAGCAAACCATTCAAACACTGTCAGTACCTAGTGGTGTGACCGCGCTCGACGTGGACTACTAGGGGAAAGGTTTCGAGATCACAGCGCTATTGCAGTCTTTTCTTATGGTTAGTTAAGGTAACGGTCGCCGCGCGCGAATATGATTTGCGCGAGGGCGTGGAAGTCTGCAAGAGAGAAACGCCCTGTCGGTTGAGACTGTAGTTTGCGAGCAGGGTCACCAGGCGTATATTTTTTTTTAAAACATTACCCCCCACATTAGGATTTTCTTCTGTATTTTTTTATAGAATAAGCGTGACAAACAAGCACACAGTCTACCTGATGGTAAGTGGATGGTGTGGCCCATAGACATCTACATTCATCTTCAATTAAGAATCAATGCAGAGAGATGCAATTGCATTGTCACCACTGAGGACAAAAATGGAATACCTCATTTCTAGTAAAAAGTTTCTCTAGTTCTCAACACTCACCATACGAAACACAGCGGAATTAAGCTGGTATTTTACGCTGGTATTCTATGAGAGCGTGGTCCTACTCCGGTCGAGCCAACCCACTAGTGCTACAACCATAAAATAGCTGCAGTGTGGCTCTACCACATAAATAGAGGCAGTTCACAAAAATCCAAACCGGGAACAATTATTTGCAGGTCATACAAAAAATCCCATGTGGGGGAATAAACCCATGGTCCTTAGCACCACAATTCATTGCTGAGCCACCGCAACACGGATTCTTCTGGCTTTTGTTCCGTATGTGTGACATCAACTGACAACTTAACATGCAGGTCCTATAGTTTATTTCAACACGAAAAGACCCGCTTTGTGCGTAGTTCTTAGAGATCGTAATAATATTTCCCCATTAAAATTTCCGAATGTGCTCAATTTTGTAGCATTTCTAATCGAATTGCCTGGCAACCCCGCATACCGCCCACTCGTGTCACGTATGCATTAGTTAGAGAAATGAAACTGTTATATCACTAGTTTTGTGGAAAATTTTAAGGGAAACTATATTATAGATGGCTCCCCATAATAACACACATGCATAAGATCAATACTCAATACCCGTGTATCGAACTGGGACAATTGAAAATACGCATGCAAAACTATATATTCCCCCCACCACTTTTCAGCATAGATTTCTGTTTCAGTTCATCAGTCGCCAATGTGATGTTGCAGTATTAATCAATGGTCCGTAGAAATTGATGTTAAAGTACTAGAGACAAGAAATGTGTAATAAAATGAATAGAAAATCAACTTTTTCTTTTAGTATACAACTAAAAGAAAAAGTTGTTTTTTTTTAAATCCACTAGCACATCTCGATGGTAACCGGTTTGAAAGTCAGTTTTCACGTTTATAAATTGCTATTTTTCTTTATAACTTGTTTTTCTACGTAGTTACATCACTAAACGTTTTTAATAGTAGTGAAAAAAAAAACATGGACGTGCGCAAATTCTTATCATTTGCTTAAACCTACTACCGCAATTCTCAGCCTCAACAAATTTGATCAAGATTGCTTTGGCCATGAGTGTCTTTGTTTTACTAATACCATTAGATCTTTTATATGTTATAGAGCAAGTTATTAATCAGGGCACTATTAACAATGCCCAGGCAATACGAATAACGGCGAATCAAATCGGGCTACGTAATTCTGACTAAACTTCATTATTTATAACATAATCTTAATCACCTTTTTACGTAGTAGAACCATGCTGCAGCTATATTGGTAGTATAGTTGTAGTACGAGTGGATCTACTCGACCAGGGAAGGACCACACTCTCACAGAATACCAGCGTAAAATAGAAGCTTAACCCTGCTGTATTTCATATGGTGAGCATAGAGAACCAGGGACCCTTTTTACTAGAACCAAAGTTTTCCATCTTCGTCCTTATGGTGAAAGTGTATCTGCATTTTGATTATAATCGAGGATAGATGTAGATGTCTATGGGTCACAAAAGCCACTTAGGTGGACTGGGTCATCGTTTGTCACCCTTATCCCATCCTATAAAAAAAATTACCCTATTAAAAAAACTATCTTTTTATTACTCTGCCCATTAAGTAACGGACTTTTCATAAAACCCGGTTAATTTAATTATTTCAAGTTTTTATCATATTGCCATTAATATTGGGAATTTCTCAAATTGTCTGACATTATGAATAATGCCCTAATAATCACTTGGTCCATTACATATATATACATTAGTTTAACATCAAGAGAGGACTGTCAAAACTACTTGTCGCATGTTTTTGATCAAAAATTCCAAGATTTCTACAGCAACAGGATTATATCATTACCTACAAGATGGCAACAAATTATCGAACAAGATGGCACAAGTTATCGAATAAAATGGCACATACAAATTAAAATTACTGTAATTAAACTTTGAAAAGAAATGTAGTGAATTTGTATATAAACTTTTTCCGAGACCTATTATATATTATATAGATGATCAAATTATATCTGTTTTCATTGTTTACAGATGGGGCAGTAGCGACTTAAAATAGGCCAAATCTAGAAGCAAACTGATCTTCTATAACTGTTCGTAAGTATTATTTACGCCAGAGAAAGTAGCGCATCCATATAAGAACTAAGGTAAACACGGAAACTGGTGCACGCGTAATGAAATAACGGCGAGAAATGTCCGATAGTTAAACAAATATTAAATGGAGATGAGAGCTTTTGCGACTAATGATACGATTTAACATAGAAATAGCTCTGTGAATGTGTGAAAAATAGCCCAGTAAGCTGGTGTGAATTGTTTGCTGATGGAAATCACTCTGTAACTACGTTTTTTTCATTGTGTTATTTGATAACAACACAAAAGACCTATTAATATAAAACAGAGCTTTTTTATAAAACTAAAATGTTGAAAAAAATTAAAAAGTGTCTCCTTATAATCGACACATACACATGAAAACCAAACATCAAAACTAATCGAAGAAACACGGTCTCCACGAATTTCAGTCACTCTGTAGTTAATGCTCTCCGGAGTCATTCTCCTTTTATCTAATTGTTTATTATGAAGTATAATATTATATAAGTTATTTTTAAATATTAATATAATTTGACATCGAATAAAGGCGCGATTAACAGTTTGCTCGCCTTTGGGAGGGTGGTAGTAACAAATTCATTTGCACATAAAATTATAATTTAAGGTATGCGAGGAGCGTGATAAGCGCCAACATAAATATAGCAATATCCTTATAATCTCTTACTACAGAGTTCTGCTTAAAAAGCTTGTATTTAAGCCGTATGTTACATTGTTCAGTAGTAATCAATATAACATACGGCTGATTCCTTTTTCTAGAATAAAATATATAAAAGAAGCAAGTTGTGATAAATTTGTGTTGTGTGGGAAAATGAATTCACTTCACTGAATGCAGTGTGGTCTCAACAATTTTCCTTTCACTTTTCAATGAAAATTTTGGTGTAATATACAATAAAGAAGGACTAACATTTTTGTCATAGAGTATATTCAAAAGATATCTAGATATCTGGTTGAGTGTACAATAGATTTTCTGAATAAGCTACGTTTTTACGAGATAATACTACACCAAACTATACATAGTATAGATATAAAAAAAATTTAGCATCTGTGAAGCAAATCTTGACCCGCATAAGATTAGAGATAGTGCACCGACACACGCACACACTGACAAACTTACTCACCCTCATAATTGACCTGACCGTCGCCGTCAATATCCGCCTCGCGGATCATTTCGTCCACCTCCTCGTCTGTGAGCTTTTCGCCAAGGTTGGTCATTACATGGCGCAGTTCCGCGGCGGATATGAATCCGTTGCCGTCCTTGTCGAAGACGCGGAAAGCTTCGCGGATCTCTTCCTCGCTATCCGTGTCCTTCATTTTGCGCGCCATCATCGTGAGGAACTCGGGGAAGTCTATCGTGCCGTTACCTGAAATTGAAACAATGACCTATTAATTTTACTCGTTTCATAAACAGTTCACTCAGGAGTATTTACATACGCTTAAAACGCGTAATTATACATTTAATCATTCATTCATTAGCCTATTAAAAATCCGTTACCTAGACCTCCTATATATAGTTTGTCCCTGAGCTGAATCTATTATACATTATGTTTACCCGTCACATATGAGGGAGGGGGTGGGAGGATTTGACATAGGCAACAGTATTTTTTATTATGTATTACCAATTGTTATAAGGTAGATACTGCTAAGCATCTCGTATTTCATTTCCATCTGTCGCTTCCTATAAAACCTACAAGATGATGATGTTAAGGGCTTAACATAAAATACATACATAAACACTCACGCCTGTCACCCAGAGGGGTAGGCAGAGACTACAGACTTCCATTTGGCACGATCCTGACACACCTCTCTTGCCTCCTTCACATCCATACACCTACGCATACATGCTCGTCGGTTAAGGGTACTCCTAATTTGGCCCGTTTTCAATAAATCGTCAATTTGGTCGATAAATTTTCGCCTAGGACGTCCCTTTCCGACTCTGTTAAGGGCTTATGTAATTATAATGTCAATTTACTTTTATATCTCGGAATTAAATCACCACCAGTGCATTATTACATTCTTCTAATACACATATTTCATTGTTGTTAGAATATTGCAAATTATAATAACCTAATACTTTATGATTCAAAAAATGGACAAAAGAGTTAATTAGTTTTATAGTATGTAAAATAAATAATACAAATGATTAAATTTCTTGAATTTAAGGGTTTATATTGACTGTATAATATAAAAAAGTTAATTTTAATAATCTCTCGAAGTTGATCTAGAGATTATAAAAATTGCTTCGCCACGTCTATCGTGCTCTCGCTCATTCGTAAAAGTTATTTAAATTACGGCGCTCGCTAGAAACCTTTAGCTTCGCCCAAAACTTCGGCCCTACGGATGAAGTTTCGCCGAAGGCATTTTTTTTTAGCCGAAGCCGAAGCTTGGGTCGGATACTAATTTTCGTAAACAGTTATATATACGTAACGTGAAATTTTCCAGGTGTTGCCGATATTGCTTCCGAGAATAATGAGACCGATCAAAAGAAACTGAGCTGTTTACAGATCGCCTACAAAGACGAGCGCCGTTGGACTTTGAATGCGCCGACGATTTATAGTTTGCCGCCGTCCCGCGCCAGGCTGAATCTATTGTTACATTATGGATGTACATTTATTTAAAAATCTACGACAGCGACTATAACTGGAACAGCCTTTCTTATTCCTTATAAATATTTAGGAGTTTATTAACATTATTGTTTCTAAAGTAAAGAACATTAAAATTTTATAGTTGAAATTTCATGACATTGTTTTGATAACAAGCACATGTGCTATTGTTTGCATATTTTGTTCATCATCATCATCATTTCAGCAGTTCTAATGTTATATGTATTAACTTTTGAGTAAAATTAAAAAACGATTGATATAAAATTTCTAAAAATTGCGACGCTATGCTGAAAACTTTAAGACAATTATAGGGAGTTATGATATTTTTTTGGAAAGTCCACTGCTGAACATGGGCTTCCCCCCAGAAATGACGCACAGCACAGTCTAAGTCAACTGCATACACCGACCGACATCCTGCATGTCTTACCAGATAAACTACCACACCAGATATACCACGTGGTAGAGCCATGCTGCAGATATATTATGGTTGTTTACGAATGGGTCGACTCGACCGTGGAAGAACCACGCTCTCACAGAATACCAGCGTAAAATAGCAGTTTAATACTGCTGTGTTTCGTATGGTAAGTGTAGAGATCCGGAGAACCTATTTTACTGGAAACGAGGTATTCCATCTTAGTCCTCAGGGGTGCCAACGCATCTGCATTTTGATTCTTAATCGAGGAAAAATGTAGATGTCTATGGGCCATAGTATCCACTATCCACTTACCATCAGGTGGCCTGTGTGCTCGTTTGTCACATTTATTATATTAAGAAAAAACATCTATCTATACTATAATACCATCAAGCAGGGGGCCCTACACTTCGCTTACCGATAGTACGAGGTCTTTTCCTTCCTTCTTGCCTTCAAAATCCTTTTATTCGATTCGTTTATCGTTTGTTTAGAGATATTTATTATTTTGCATTTTCATCGAGTTGAATACAAATTATTCATGCGGCGAGGTTAACGCAACAACCGCTACTGTCAAGAAATGGTAATCAGACGCAATTAGACCTCATAGAGTCATTATTAATTACACTGTTACATGTATTATGTTTACAAGCAACACGACACTATCTCACTTAAAATATATGAGTAATGCAATTTAATGACGACGAATCGATTTGCTTTAAGGCTAGGCGAGAAATTATAGTTTGTTATCAGGGTCATGGTTAAAGTTAAATTCATTTTTGTAATTTGGATAAACACTCCTAATTTCAAAATATTTAACTAACAGAAAAATCTTGCCAAATGGTATACAATGAATACCGAAAATCTAAATCTATAAATTCTGAAAAACCTTATTAAAAAGAGCGGGCTCTACTTAATATAAATCAGTTATATATAGTGTAGGTTAATGACATGAAAACCAAAACAAAAATTATTCATGTACAAAATAAAAAAAAATCTCTAACAACGTTTAAACATTAGTCATATTATTAAAAATAAAACAATTAAATTTTTATTTATAGGATTAGGGTGACAAACGAGCACACAGTCCTCCTGATGGTAAGTGGATGCTGCGGCCCATAGACATCTACATTTCACTTCGATTAAGGGCCGATTTCACCAAACTCAGATAAGTTTTATTCCAAGAGTAATGATATAAGTTATTCTAGGATATCAAATTTTACATTTCACCAACAATTTAACCCAAGAATAAATAGTTAACCAAGAGATAAGATTTATACTCCCGATTTTGAAGGATTACGGAGTTATTCTTCGGTTAAAAATGGCCGACAGGCTATCAGCTGTTAATTATTTGACATTTTTAATAGTTTGTCGTGTACGTCCAAGTTTCTTGTTCCTGAATTGCTGTTTGATTAATAAATTTTTAGTTTAATTATTATTGAGAGTATATAGCTATACATAATGCAACGTTTGAGAAGAATGATTAACAACAGTGACAGTGATGACAGTGAAGATGAAACATATTATGTTGTAAAACGTCCAAGGTGGATAAAAGAAAGGAATAATTATTTTTATGACTATGATGACGAAGACTTTAGGATAAGATTTCGGTTATCTAAATCAGCAGCTCATAATATTTTGATCAAAATTGATCATTTGGAATTTATATCTGAGAGGTGCATTTTTGTACCTATTTATACTGTTCGTAGGTACATAATACGGCAATTAATTGCTCTAAAATAAAACTGTTTTGGTTTACAGGAATCAATCAATTTCGCCGATTAATCAGCTTTTGGCAACACTAAGGTTTTATGCTACGAATAATTCACAATTAACAATCGGTGATTTTAGTGGGCTCAGCACACCTACAGCACACAGAATAATACATAGCGTTAGTGCTGCCATAGCGTCATTGAACCACGAGTACATAAAGTTTCCGAATACTCGACGGGAAATTCGGCGAAATCAAAGGGAGTCTTTATACAATCATTCACTTGCTCATTCAAATAGTCTTCCACAGATAAGTAAAACCGTTATTCGAATGAATAGTTAATCTGAGGCAAACTAATCTGTTGTTTTGCATGGTGAAATGTACAGTAAGTTATCTGAGAGTAAAAGTACGGAATATCTTTATTCTCGGGTTAGTTAATCTTAGACAACGACGTCGTTGGTGAAATCGGCACTAAGAATCAAAAGGCAGATGCGTTGTCACCCTTGAGGACTAAGTTGGAATGCCTCGATTCCAGTAAAACGGGTCTCCGGTTCTCTACACTCACCATACGAAACACAGCAACATTTTAAGCTGCCATTTCACGATGGTATTCTGTGAGAGCGTGGTCCTTCCCCGGTCGAGCCGACCCATTCCTGCTACAACCATAATATAGCTGCAGCGTGACTCTACCACATATACCACGTGTATGGTACACGTGGTATATGTGGTATAACTCAGTACGTTCTTGTACCTAAATTTCAAAATTATTAGGTATGGATCCAGATCTTCAAAAAAAACTTTTCGGAAGTTGAAGCTTCGCCAATGTCTCCAGTTCCTATCTTTGGTTTGCCTTTACCGATTTGTTTGACAACATCTTCGGGAATATCACACGTTGCGCAATTCTTTTTTTAATCCTTAACTGATTTCTAATCAGAAAAATGGAATTTAAAGTTTTTTCTGATTTGCTTGTTTCGCAGTTTGTTTTTAACTACATTCCTACATGATAATATTACTATTGCAAAATTACATAAATCTTCGAATATATTTACTCCTGCTGCATTTTTGTACGTCGATACCTTAGACCATGGTCTAAGATCGAAACAGATGAAAGTGAATGAACGACATTGAATTGTTAGTTTATGTTCGGGAATTCCCGTGAAATTATACTATATATACAGTGTTACCAATGGTAGATTACAAAGTTGGACATATGATAAATGACTTATGTGGTGTTCCACATCTTGGTGGAAATAACCTGCCAGCTTTGCAGCACCTCTTCTCTTGTCTTTGGTGGAAACCGGGCCTTAGTCTCGAAAACGGCTCCAAGCGATTTTGATGATTTTTTATGGGTGTATTGAGTGGCTACCTGGATGATTTTAAAACTAAATTGGACCCAGTAGGTGGCACTGTTGTCGAGATCCAGAAATCACCCGTGCGAAGGTGTGGTGGATCGCGAGTTCTTTGAAAGCATCCAACTGTTTTTCACCAAACCGGCTTCATTAGAAAGGCAATGATGCGAAAATGGTTTTAGACCGCTAAACCAATGAATTAGATCTGTATAAAAAAAGTTAATAAATTTCCTTTTTTTTCCAACAAATAAATGAAATGTATTTCTTTTTTTTTATCGCTATCCGCTAGTAA